CCACCCCCTCCCCCCCCCAAATCAAGATGCTTAGATTGTCAGCTTCATCAAACTGCTCATGTCTCCAGCCTGCAATTGTAGGAGACCCTTAGGCCATTGTAAGCTGCCATCTGAAAGGATAGTAGCCTATGACTGCCTAGTTATTTAGGCTGAAGCAGGTTTTTTTGAGGGGAGGGGAGGAGTAAGCTCTTGTATTTTCTCCACACTGATCTGCCTAGAGTGCATGGGCACTGTTTTGGATCTTGCTGTCAGAGCAGAATCCATGCTGATAGTCAGAGAAGCTCACCGTGCTTGAAAAAAATGAGCCACTGGATGGAGAGGAGTGGAAAAAGTAAGCAAGAAAATTTCATAGTATGATGCCATAAACTGCATCCCTTAGGATGACCAAGTTTTCCTTCAAACAAATTATCTTAGAAAAATCAGTTAAAGTTGTTACCAGAGTTGTGTCCTGTCTTATTAATTTCTTTGAAGGAAGAGATACAAATAGTAAAATAAAAAAAAAAAGAGTCAGTTTTATGAAACAACAAGGAGTTTTATTAAGATATTTTATTATGTGTCTCTGTAAGGAATAGACCGACAACCATATAAAAGCTTACAAAGATGGTTAACCTTCAACACTATAAATGTGTTAATGTGACAAAAGAAGTTCACAATTTTGCATCTTTATTGACTTTTACAGAGTGAAGGGAAAAAGTTCTCAACTATGACATGCCAATGATGATCTTTGACAGGAGACATTTACAATTGCTTTAAATCCTTTACTTTTTTTTTTTTTTTTTTTAAGCAAGTCAATAACCCTGACTTGCAGAGTTAGGAGTGAAAAATACATTAGCACCATCATATTAGTCTTTTACACTTCCCTAATTTTAGTGGTCTTGACCAGCAATGACAGGAAAGTAGAGAAGCACCTTTGATAACAGAATACAATCCAACAATAAAATTATGGTGGCTACTGACATTAAGGTATTAAACTCTTAAAATACACTGCACTTTTTTTCACAGCTAATCAGTACAGAAATAGACAATTTTGTACCAAATTATTCCACTGAATCGACCAATGGGTCCAATGTGTTTCGATTGATTTGTTTGATTTTTGGTTTGAGTCATCAGACACATCCCAGTTTCTGTCCATGTTGAGGTAGTTGAAACAGGGAGGTCTTTCTAGCTTTATGGACTGCATCTTAGAAAGAAGGGTAAACTTTGGTACTGGGAGCAATCAGTGCTTTGTAAATTGGCTAACATTCAACTAATAGAACACAGTGTTGTTTTATTAAGTGTTGAAGTTGTATTATAGCACCACGGAGACATATTTTGAAGATGGAATTTGGTAAAAAAAATAGAGCAAAAAAGCATTTTTACTGTACTTTGTGTAATAGCGAAAAAAAATAACCCTTGATATCAAATTGATTTTTCCCCCAGAAATTTTGTTAATAAATAACTGGGATACAGATGGTCACCTGTACTGGTTGACAAGGCTAAAACAAAGGAGCACAGTTGGAGTGTGAATCTGTTTGCTGGGGTTTCAGAAAGAGCAGGATCTTTGATTTATAAGAAGCAGACCGGGCCAATGTCCACACCAAATTCCTGATCAGGACCACCGATATCTATGGGTGCAATATCAACCACAGGCAACCTCATTGTCTTGCGCGTTCTGTATTCAAAGACTGTTTTACCCCATTCGCCAGTGTGTTTCTGTGAAGTTAAAAAGAAAAGGGGGGGGGGAACACAAACCATGTTAGAGAAATCAGTGTTGGGCTACATGAAAGTTATCCTACAATTTACTGTATTTACTGGATTTCATACTGTTCATACTGTCTCTTTCTGTATTAATGTGTCTCTCCCAACACCATGAAAACTGGTTGCAGTCACTGTAGAAATGAACATGTAGATAGACATTCTACATTCCTGGACCTTTTATGCAAAGTCTTGTGGGGTTGTAGACCTTGTGGCTCAGAGGGGATGGGATCCCTGATGGACAGTAGAGCCTTCTGGAGCAGTGCCAGCGCCCTGACATAGGACCGAAACGTGCTCTGCATGCTGGGAGATGGTACAAACAGCTACTGTGTTCGGAAAGTGGTTTTGGCCTCAGGAAAAAGTGACAGCAATAATGAGGTAGCTCTTCATGTTCATGTTAAAGAAAAGGCCACAAAGTGGCTGCAAAGCAGGTGCCCATAAACCAGCATGTTCGTCGATGTTACTGCTCCTCTCCAGTACTTTCTGCTGCAGTGAGCAAGGCACAATAAAGCAATGTTGCATCTGCAAAATGACTGTTTGCCCCTTCCCATAATCATAGCCCATGCCTTGCATCAGCTAGCCTTGATTTTTTTTATGACTAAGATGATTCCTACTACTCAGTTTTAGAGTTGACATAGGATAGATCAAAACTTGGTCACTGTGACTTCACTGACTTTGACTCTAAAGCAAGGAGATACCTGTATAGCACAGATTTAAATGGGAGCACACCTCACTTGCTACAGGAGTGATGCTTCTGGTGTAGAGAATCTGAATTTCCCCAATTAGGTGTAACTGTGTCCTCTCCTTACCCAGGTCATGCAAAGTGCTCTCTTCGTTTATTATGGGTCTAGTCTTCCAGAGGGAATTATTTATTAAACTACCATACTAAAGTCTTGTTTACTTACAGTACAGCCATCTTCCAGAACAGCATATGTGAATTTGCTGTTTCCTTCAGCCTTGATCTCACTTTCCATAGAGCTCATCAGTTTCAGAGCTTTTTTAACATTTCCGCTGTCTTGATCCATGTAGGCAATGCTGTTCTTGCAGTGGTAGGTGATGTTCTGGGAGGCGCGGCTGGAGAGGATGCGGAGGAAGGCCAGCTGAACTTCTGAGACATCCTCTGGAAGCTCAGGATCTCCATAGCTGAACTGCAGAGTACAATGCATAAGCAAGAGGTTTTGTTTCATCATGTCTAGGGACAGTCAAAATAGTTATTATTTCACATACTAGATGTTTAGCTTAGTTTAATTTCAGGATTATTTATTAGTATGTTGCAATCTACGTGAGTACAATATGCGTACTACCTTTTGTGCTGTGAACTGTGGTAATATCCTACCTGGAAGCCTCCATTCATAGATTCTCCAAACCAAACATGTTTCTTTCCACTGCTTTCGCTGGTCCACCAGTTTTTCCTTGGCACAGTGCTGGGGTTAGCATTGATGCATGTCTCACCAGTTTCCATATTACAGTATACTTTAATAGCATCCATCTTGCAGCCTTGGTTAGGATCAATCCAGTACTCCCCTAGAGGTAAAAAAAAAGAAGTTAAGGGGCTTAATATGTTTGGAGAAGAATCTGACCACGTCATGGTGAAGCTAATTTCTATGCCAGATTCCTGAGCCAAATTAGGAAGCATATTAATTTTGACAGAAGAGATGCCACAGAAAAGAAGATGATATAAAAATACACTGAGTGACTATGATATCATACAGTGAATACTGTGATAAGACTGACACTTGAAATAAATATAGGACTTATACCTGTCACGGATTTATTTCCATAAAATTATTTAAACAAAGGTTCACTTACAAGCATGAGAAGAGTGGAGCTGAAGTCAGTGTATATACTGTGTAAATGCATATTAAATTAAAGTTTAAAATTATTCTTACATTTATGATCTTTATCATGACATTTGTTTAAAAAAAATCTAATTTTTATAGCAGATCTCTGCATTTAAATACTCAAAGAAAATAGCATTCATAAAAAAAAAAAAATCAAGATCTGCTACCATTGGTGAAAATAAAAACCTAACATACCACTCTTGAGCTCAGGATGGCAGAATTTCAGATCTCTGCAGTTACGAGCTGGATTCTTCCGTGACCCATCAGGACTAATGATGTTCTCAATCTGGTTATTAATCGATTTCATTGAAGATATGATGTCATCCAGATTGATATTTTCTTTTGGCTCATCTCGATATTCATATCCATAGCCCACTGGACCTTTTTCACCACCCAGGGCAGCCACACCACCACAGCATGGACCAGGAGGACCAGAAGGACCAGGCAGACCAGGCTGGCCCGGTGGACCCTAAAAAAAATAGTGAACATAGCGCTGAGTAGAGATCACAGGTTAAAACTAAAAGTCTGTGTGGGCCCTAATTTTTAAAAAATGAGAATTCTCACATAAACATTTCGTTTACTTATTCATTAAATAATGCCATTTGCTATGTATAAGCATCTGTCAGTCCTTCCAGGCCTTTATTTTCCTAAAATTGGAATTTTCTTGTGCTTCTTCTGTCTGGGATTTGAGAAGGAACCCTTTCCACCAAAATCCAGAGAATAACCATGTCTTGACTTTAGGAGAAGTGAGTATGCCAGTAACCTTTGCAGTGCTGGCCTCTGTAGAGGAGTCTAGGAAACCTGCTTCATAGTGTCCAAGACACAAAGGGAGCATGTGCTCTGAAGTGAAGAGGAGATCCTGCCTTCCCATCGTACACCAAAAAGTCAATGATTATATGAGACTAACACAACATCCAGTGCATCAACAGTTACACTGAACTACAAGTGATCCATATTTTTTTTGATCTAGCCTTGACAGTTAGATACCTTCTACCACAAACTCTGTGAAGTACAGAATTTTCCAAGGAAGATACTTAAATGGGACAGCACCCTATGTTTCATGAATAATCCTGGAAGATTTTTTTGTTTGAATGTGCACAGTTTACTTACTGCAGGGCCGCTATCACCTCTGTTACCACGAGGGCCAGGAGGACCAATTGGACCTGGATAGCCACTTTTACCATCTTTTCCAGGTGGTCCAGATGGTCCTGGGGGACCCTAGAACAAAGTTGAACACAAATAATATGGTCAAAATAGTTTATCAAATAATCTGAAATTCAGAAATACTTTGTGAGAGATTTCAAACATTTCTCTATGATTTATCAGATGGTAAATCTTTTTTTTTTTTTTTTTTTAAAAACAGTCTGAATCTTCCTTCCAGTTATGCTAAGAAAGGAATTCTTCTTACCCTTGCACCTGAAGCTCCTGGACTTCCAATTGCACCTTGTGGACCCAGGGGACCCTATGAAGAAAACATAGATAAGTCATACACCTCCCAGTAATATTTTGTTTCTAGTTGAACGTACCTTAAAGAGACATTGAAATATCTTTAAGATGATATGAAAAACATCCTTATAAAAAGCCTATGTCAGATATGAGAAAGAATGGTTGCCATTCTTTAACCAGGGGGGGGAAAAAAAAAAAAAAATCAAATGTTCTCTATATGATAAAATATTAGTGATGCAATATCATCCAAAAATGCAAGAAAGCCAACTGACATCAACAAGCTTTGGATGAAATCTTGTATTTATAAGAATACATAGCTATAGGCTCAAAATCCTGCATATTTCCAGTAAAGTTACTTAAATAATTTGACAAATTCTCATGTTTTCAAATGCATTAAAAAATCTGTTCTATGTATGCACCACAAAGAACTAAGCCATGTGTTCAAAAATTATTAATCATCTTGCTGTCATAGTGTAAATAAGAATTTATCAGACTTTTTTTTTACTCATAAGTGAGACAACAGGTTATATTATGTTGTTAAATAGGTTGGTAATGGTGGCATTTATAGTTAACACTTCCATCTTTTTGCCATCATTGGTAGATTAACTAGGTGAATTTTGGTTCCTTAATTCTCACTTGTATCATGAGTGCTATTAATAGTTCTTTTCAGTATAAATCCCTCTTAACATTTTTACTTGTCATAAATACCTAGGGCATGCCTGTCTATTACTCTTCAATTCTTTTAGCCATTAAGAACTGTTCAAAATGGTAATGCGTATTTACGATTCAGCAGTTTATAAAGTTTACAATTTCACGCCCATTTTGCCTTAATATTAATTACTCCAAAAGGTGTATGACAGAAGAGAGGTATTTGGACTCTGAGTAGCTTTTTCATGGATTTAGATGTCTGTCTAGCATAGATTTCTAACAGACAAATGTTTCAACCCCTATTTCTATCTTTTACAATTTACTCAGGAATAGTCTATATAAATGAATGGCCAAAGTGTTTGTTCCAGGCAAAGGCAGACATGTAGCTGAAAGGGATTTTAGCAAACCCAGCTTTAGCTCCTAGCAGCTTCTTCCAGTTCTTCCTTAACACTTATTTCAGGTTCATTCAGGGAATCTGGACTTGTGAACACATTTGACAATCAAATTGCACAGGTTCTTTATACTTTTTTTTCCTTTCCTCAGTAAATTAGTTACTTGGGACTCAAACCACAGGAACTAAGAACAGCTGTAATTCCCAATCCAATGCAAAATACTCACAGGAGGACCAGGGAGACCAGGGGTACCAGGGAATCCTCTATGACCCTTTATGCCGTTGCTGCCTCTTTCACCAGTTTCACCTTTATCACCACGAGGACCTTGAGGGCCCTTTAAGAATAGAGTTGCAACAAAAGGAATATATAAAGAAATAAGAAAAATGCCCAAATAACAGGAAATAGTGAATGTATGGCATCACAAATACTTTAAATATGACTTACAGCAGGACCTCGAGCACCAGCAGGACCAGCAGGGCCAGCAGGGCCAGGTGGACCCTGTGAACCAAAAAGAATAAGACAGCATGGATCACTTGGAGTTGACTAGGCTGCCTTTTTATTTCCAGATAAACAGTATGTTCAAAGCCAGCAGCTGTTTGGAAACAAGTGGAAGCTCCACACACACAATATAATCAACAAGAGTTTTGATCAGTTCCTTTTTCTACCAATGTTAGTCTTACTCAGCTGCTTGTAAGCACTGGTACATACCACATGCACTAGACCCCTTCTTCATTTTGTGAGGTGCTTAGTGCTCAAGCTGTGCTCATGTCGGCACTTCTCAGAAATCATTTGAAGACTTCCAAAGTTACTCCCTTAGTTTAAATAAATAACATTGCTTGTGCTGCATGAGCACAAGATGGGATGGAAATTAAGATAGGGCCTGGTGGGATGATATGCTTTTTGGCATCCTAAGGAGTACGTGGATTTTGAGCTTAATTTATATACAGTTATCAGAAACATAAACTATGATGTCTTTTCCCTTGCTATTCTTATCAAAGAAGTCCTCAATGCCAAGAAACTATGACAGTAACAAATGTATGACTCTTCCAAACTTCCACTTTATTACAGCATGAAATGGACTTTGCATAGGAAATGCATGTAAATAAGCAGTAAGCTATTTATTTTGGTCTTACCTGAAATCCTCTTTCACCGGGTTTTCCAGGTGCACCGCTGGTACCTGCAGGTCCAGGGTGACCAGGAGGTCCTGGAGAGCCAGGAGAGCCACTTTCACCGCGGTCACCCTGCAGATAGATAGTTACAGGTAACAGGATAAGAAAGTTAATCTTTTACAGAACTGCAATGTAAAGAGTATATTCACTGGAGCATAAGACATTTAAGGAACAAGTTACATAGTACAGAACTAGCTACGTATATTGTCATCTCTACATAACAGTTATCTGGCAATCTAAAGATATTGGCGATTCCTTACTTTGCCTCCTGGGGATCCATCACGTCCAGGTGAGCCATCTGAGCCAGGGTTACCCTAGGGGCGGGGGGAGAAAGAAAAAAAAAAAAAAGCATGGTACAGTTTGTTCATAAGCTGGATGATGAATAGACAGCTTGTTTTCCAGTAAACTTAAATAATGCTCATCAAAGCAAGTTTTCAAGAAGGAAGAGTTCCTGGAGGTGGCGTGGCCCATAAAAGGTCTATCAGACCTGCATTATTTTGTAGGCGTACAGTCAATGCAGTCTCTTATTCAGTCCCAAGTGAGACAGAGACGTAGTCTACAGGTAGTAAAAGGTATAGCAGAGACAGCAGACTACACCACCTTACATGAGGATCTAACCTGCCCAGACCACTGTGCTTCAGGGAGACTTTGTGAACCTTAAAGCATATTTAGTCCCCGAGTCTCCTGTTTGTAACTCACAAGCTAGCAGGAAGGTCTAACACATTCACTCACATCTCTGCCAGGCTCTCCAGGTAAGCCTCTTTGTCCAACAGGACCTTGTGGACCAGGAGCACCGCGTTCTCCTGGGATACCATTGGTGCCTGGTTTACCATCTTCACCCTGAACAAAACCAGAAAGGATTTTGTTGCAGATAATGTACTTACGAAATACCATCATATTATACATCTTTAATTAAATATGCAGTGACTATGAAGGAGACCGAATAAAGTGAAGGGCCAGTGATTATTTGGTGATTATGAATACTCAAAATAAGAAAGATAAAAACTTGGCTGTATACTAATATTAATGCAAGACCATTGAACCCAAGGAATGTTCCTTCTTGTTTTGTCAACTAAGAAACAATAAGCAGGTGTCTCTTCTTATATGTCCAAAAACAATGGCCAAAGCAGTTTACAAAAAAACACTGGTCTATCACAATATTAGTGATAAAATACAAACCAAGCCTCACACAACCTTTTCTGCAGGGAGATGAAAGTATTTTCCTGTTTAGGCCATAACATTTAAGCAATAAACATATTGAGAATTAAGCAAAGATAAACAACTTGCAGTAGGTGAAACTGTGACTCGGTTCTTGCCTCAAGGAGAGCACATTGCCCTTCTCAAGTGGGTGAAGCTGGTTATATACTTCTAGATAATCTGATCCAGGACGCTTGGTAATAGAGATTAAAGACAACATCACATCCCACAGCTGCTTGTTACCGGACATTTTAAAGCCTGATCTTATGGATGTAAACAAAAATAACTGTAAATTCTGTCGTCTCTGGACTAAAAATACAACACATTGTAAATCTGCTATTCTTAGCAGCTGGATTACAGTTGTTGCGTTAGCTTTGAGGCTATTGCTGCAGTGAATGCACTCTCACCTTGGCACCTGCCACACCGGGTGGACCGCTTGGGCCACGCAGACCTGGCAAACCTGTGCTACCCCGACCACCAACGATGCCTTGAGGACCTATTTCTCCTGGTGCCCCCTGTTTAGGAAAAGGTGAGATCAGTCAATACTGAGGATCTTCAACATTCAATAGGTGGCTTCTTATTCTTGACAAACATAAGCCCGTTCAATTAGTATAGCAGTCACTGGCTGGACATGTACTTACTCTTTCTCCTCGTGCACCTGGTGACCCTCTTTCGCCTGGTGGGCCAGGCTCACCTCTTGTTCCGGCAGGTCCTGGACTGCCAGCAGGACCAGTGCTACCCGGGGGTCCAGGAGGCCCATCCTTGCCTGCGGGCCCTGCGTTACCAGCAGGACCTGGAGCACCCTAAAAGGAATTTTAAAGGGAAGAGTGTGAGCTGTGTTATCTGAAACAGTAGCACACGCTTACTGGCATTGATCTTTCCTCATGAAAGCCAACCAGACTTGATTCATTGCCTGAAGGTGGATTTAGGGTCCAACCTCTACACACCTGAATCTGATCTGGTCTTATAAAGAGAATCCTTTCACCTACCATTGTCACACCTGATTTTTTTGCTCCCTACTGCCTGGGAATATGGTTTGTGTAATACACCACATGCACAGTTTGGATGCCCAGTGTTTGTAATGCAGCCAACACAGGATACATGTTCCTTACCCAGGACTCTGCCACAGAAATTTGAAATAGTTGCAGGCCCCACTGATTTCTTGAATCACTAATGCCAGGTACCTTTAAGGTGGTGTCTTGGACACATGCAGAATGAAATGTGTTTCATTAAAACTCTTCGCTTAGCCAATCAATGGAAAGAATTACATTGACTTCAGTAGTACCTTAAATAAAATCCTATTTTATTTTAATTCAGCAATATTCTAATTTACATCTGTCTGTAACTATAAGACAGAAAATAAACCTCTGTTTATTCAAATATAAAAGTTTTACTTTCTCAGTTACCATATTTTGATTTTAAAATGGGTAAATGCATTGTATTCTCTGTATTTTCTTAATTTTTAAAGAATCAAAAATCAGAATGTAAATTTTACTATGCGAGTCAAAAATAGGTGATGTTGAACATGCAAAGATATTATGAAACAGCTTTTCTTCATGCACAGGTATTGTATAAAATATTGGAATTAGCTGATGCATTAGTGTACATTTTTATAACAGGACACTACAGACTGGTAGATTAAACTTCAGATATAGGCCGTATCAAAAGAGACAAAATTTGCCACAAGAACCTTTCTAAACTCCTCTGTCCCAAAATAATTAAATCTTATGCCATTCCATTCTACAGGCAATTAAAAATATTCTCAACAGTGGTCTACAAAATGTAGTTTTGAAAATGCATACCAATTCAAGATCCTGAATTAAATATTTCTTGCATCACAAAAGAGCAAGAGAGAAGACAGGATGTCTGCCACCAACAGAAATACTCAAGAACCTGATCCAGGAGTCCAGAAGGACTCCACTAACTCTGATGGGCTTTGGAAAGCAAACCATAATAGAAGGAGGAGTATCAAGACAGTTAAGTGAATGAATTGCTATTCCATATGAAATACAAGCAGAGTAAACTCTCTTTTGCAGAAGTTTTTCCCTAAGTCCAAACATCATATTCAGGATGCTTTTGCTTATGTTATATTCATGTCGAGGTACATAAAGCTTAATATAGTTCAATATATTAATATATGTCCACAAGGCAAGAAAAAAACCCCAGGGGGATAAACAACTTACAGTGTTACCAGGGGGACCAGGTAGACCACGAGCACCAGGGAAACCAGCAGCACCCTATAAGAGATCAATACTTTTAGTTGTCATTTTCTGAAGACTGGAAAAACATGAACAAATTGATTTTTGTACAACAGCTGACTTTGAATTATATTTAGCTGTTTTGCTTGAAACCAGAATTAAATGTCCTGGAACTGAAGAAGTAGTTCACAATTTTTTTCTTTTTTTTTTAATGGGAAGGTCCCATATGTTCCTCAAAGGTGAACTCATGGGTTCTGTGAAACTTGGCAAAGATAGCATGTAAATCTAGTAACTGTTGAGATAAGTCATTTTATAGCTTTGGGTCATTGTGCCAAAAGCTATTTTGGCACCTTACTCATATTAAAATCAATGTAATCCAGATCACTAAACACCTCAACCTTAATTACTCCTTCTGGAACACTTTAATTATTCTTGAACTGCTGATATTAAAGTCACTGAAGGTCTTGTTTTTCATTTACATCATGAGAGTAACTTATCAGTGACTAAGTCAAAGAGATACTCACAGGGCCTCCAGGAGATCCACGTTCTCCTTTTGCTCCTTGGAGACCAGCTGGACCCTGCATGGAAGGAAATAGTTAAAGCAAATGATTTGATAAATAGATTAAAATCATAGCAAGTGTCATTAAATTTCAGGCAGTTCAAATGCTTGCACTTGGGTCCAGCTGTCTTGAGGCTGAGGGAGAACTGAAGAAACCTCTCTTTGTAGCAATAAGGAACAGCAAAAACTTACTGGTGCACCAGGACCACCTTGTGGACCTGCAGGTCCAGGGGGTCCAGCCTCTCCTCTTAGACCAGGTGGGCCTCTTTCTCCTTTTCCACCAGGTTCCCCATTTTGGCCCTGTAGAGAAATGATATTGTTATATTACAACTCAGAAAATACAGATGATATCACTTTGATGAGAAACCCTATCCAGATACCCTTCGGAAGGGAATTTAAATATTAAATTAAATGTGAATGCAGTTGAACTCTTTTGGTCTACTAGTACAGGAAGGGAAAGGTAAAGAAATGTTGCTCTATGTGTGACTGAGTATAGAAAGAGTACCAAATGAATCAAATGTATGTAGCAGGTATATATATTAAAGGGGTTACAGTGAGCCTTTCTGAGATGTGGATGAACTTAGAGCAACTAAAAGCAACTGAATGTGATTATCAGTTTTTAAGTATTTATACTTACTGGAGCTCCAGGGAAGCCAGCAGGTCCAGGAAGACCTTGTTCTCCTCGTTCACCCTATAGGAAATGACATATCAGCAAAGGAAGTTGTTAGAAAAATAGGCTTCACTTTACAAGTTACAGAACACCCCCATGAATACCACTGAAGTTTCTTTGTCTTATCAGCCTTTGGAAGGGAAAAAAACAAACCCAAAATAACAGTTGCTCCTGTGCTCTAAAAACAACTGTGCAGGAATTTTCTGATAATTACCTAACACGTGACAAACTGATCTCAGTTACACATGTATAAACCCTGAGCACAATCCATGATGTTCCCCAGATCCAAATGTGCTGTTTTATCAATCTAAAATACAAATATAAGAGTATTTTTAAAAGTTTACTTAACTGTAAGACAAGATGGAAACAACTATTGCTCACAGTCCTGACCTGACCTGCCACTGCAGCCCTCCAACCCCTTTACAGTGTTAAAAGCACTGATTTTCTCAAGTCCTTAGCACCTGTAAAACCCAAGAGTCAACAGCAGCTGAATGTGCTTAGTTTATTTTCAACTCAAGCCACATGTGTTCCTGACAGGGTAGGTACAACACTGATGTCTATACCAGGCTAGAGGAGCCATGGTGAAATTATACTGGAAGAAAAGTACTATCACTTACAGGACCACCACGGGAACCCATTGGACCTGGGGCACCTGCTGGACCAGTCTCTCCCTGTAAGGAACAAGAATGATTACTAGATGGTTTTCTTCTTCCCATGAGACAGCTACCAGTGTGACTGTTTATATTATCAAACATCATCATGGAGGATACTTTACCTTATCTCCAGGTGGGCCGGCAGGACCAGGAGGACCGATGGGACCTACGTTACCCTAAAGAAAAAAGCAACCAATATATTTTGTATCAAAAATATGACAATATTAATCCCTCTATTTTGATCACTAGCATTTATGTTTCAGTGTAAACAGGTTGCTAAAGATATGTAAATGGAAGTCTACCTTGCCAGTGTGTTGTTGCACACTATGTTTTGGAGTAACACTCTGAGATCACACCATTTTGTGATGTGAGAGACCTCCACTTGTTTTATCCTCTTTTTTTCCCCACCATCTAAACCTAATCCAAAATCACCTCAATTTAATAGGTCTCTTTCAATGGTAGACAATAGAAGTTATCCATTGCCCTAACTTTTCATATAGATAATAGGTCCATATTTTTTCAGTATATGCTCAACGTCTCTTGATTAGCTTCCTGACTTTTTTCTTTCTTGAGAATTTAATGTATACCTCATGGTTTAAAATACATTTTTTCTATTTCCTCCAACTCATACAAGCTATATTTTTATATTTGTCATCCCTCATTATTTTGATGTGTATATGCTTCCATGTATATTAGATATATACATTAGATATATACATATATTTCAAGTGTCTATTTCATGTGTATATGCTATATAGTTGTGTAAATATATCATATATTGTAACCTGCAGAAGTATTCTGTATGAGAATACTTACTATCATGGTGTCTTTTTGTGCATCATTATAACCAATATTTTCCTCATCGGCCAGCTAGATTTAGAAAGCTAGTAACACTTTCTCTGCTTTTGTATTGGTGCTTTTCCTCCAAAACATTGTTCCAATTAATTGTAATCTTCTGCTTGCAAAAAATTCTATTATATCTACCCAAGCAGCTGTAATCACAAAAACTAGTATTAAGTCTATTTTAGTTTATGGAACCAGTTTTGCACTGCCAGAATGAAATATAACGGGATTACTACTTTACCTCTCCTAGGCAGCATTTTAAGTTTACTCATGTTCTAAATGTAGACTATGTGAAGCTAATTGAGAAACTGTTAGATGTTTAAAGACTACTCACTCTCTCTCCTCTTGCACCAGGAATGCCATCAGCACCTTTGCCACCAGGTTCTCCCTACCAAGCGTAAGACGTAAAAAGCGTAAGCAAAAAGTGAGCATAATGGGGGAAAAAAAAAAAAAGAAAAAAAAGAATTAAAACATTACTGAGGGTATCTCAATAACCAGATTTCCTTATTGTGATCATACAAATCTAAAATTGGGCATGACATTCTGCCCAGTATTCAGCATCAGATGCTGAATACTTTGATGGAAAAAAACCCCAAATTGATTCAAAACTGAGTCTATGAGAAACTGTTTGCCCATGGTATGAACTATTCTCATTGTTTAGTAGCTTCATTAGAACTGTTTTGATGTACCCCTGCCCCAAGAGATCTAACACAGCGAAATGTCTAACATATATTAAACCAAGTGAAAAATCCTATATTTTTTTAACATATAAGACCCATATCACACTGCTAAATCAACAATACTGCTACACAGTCACTACCTCTGAAATCAGGCCAAAAGTGAAGATGTGAACAAACTCAGTGCCTTGTGGGAAGCTAACACGGAGTTAGCATAACATTGGCAGAGCATGTGTGTGGGTGTGTATGGGTGTTACCTTATCCCCTTTTGGTCCAGGACTTCCAGAAGGTCCTCTTTCTCCTGGCATTCCCTGTAAGCCAGGCAGCCCTGTGCCTCCAGGAGCACCAGGGGGGCCAGCAGGACCCTAAAGAGTAACAAAAAATAATTAGAAAAGATTAAAAAAAGAGCATATGAACCTGAATGATGCACCTGAAGATAACAGGAAGCAAGCGAGTCTGTGGGTACCTTGGCACCTTCTGAGCCAGCAGGACCTGGCCCACCTCTTGCTCCAGGAGGTCCTGGAGGACCCTGTGCACCACGTTCACCTGGGATACCATTTTCACCCTGTGGCAAAGAAATAATTATTCTTTGTTGTCAGGTTCACAGTTTGTTAATTCCTTAATGCAATTATAGAACCATTGCTGTATGATTTACCTTAGGGCCTGGGAATCCGGGTCCTCCAATATCACCTTTTGGCCCCTGTTTATGAGAAAATAAATGCAAGTTACGCATGCACTTTACTTAGAAAATCCGCATTGTGGTTGGCACCCTGCTTCTCTCACTTATTATCACTTAAAGCAGACTGCTCTGCTCTGCAGTGTGCTGATAGCTGTCTGAATTTGGAAATGTAATCTAGGAAGAGCTTTTCATATATTTTTTGTTGTTTTAAAAAAAGAGATCTACTGCTTACTGCTTCTCCAGGCTTTCCATTCTCTCCAGCTGGTCCTGGTCCACCAGGCAATCCCTGTAGGAAGGAACAGTATTACCATCTGTTACATAGATAAATCATGCATTTTCCTATCTAGGAAATCTTTTTAACACGAAGATGTGTACCCAACTCATTCTAATCCTTTACAAAGTAGGAGGTGCTAATTTGATAGCTAGAGGTTTTATGTGACATAATCTACTAAACTAGCCATCTGGTTTGCAGTTATGAAATACTAAGCAATAACTTTTGTCAAGTGGTTGATCTGTCTTCCTTCAAAATATGATGACATGCACCCTAATGAAAATGTTTAGCTGCCTCTTTTTTTTTGGGGTGGGGAGTGTGTGTGTGTGTGTGTATGTTAGTCTATTAAAAAGACTCAGAAACCAATAAACAATAAACACAGCACCTGGAGGCCGGGTGGACCTGGTGGTCCTGGTTCTCCTCTCTCCCCAGAAGCACCCTAGAATCAAACAAAAGAGAAATAAAAAAAAAAAAAAGAAATGGTCTGAGAACATTTCAACATGAAAAGACCTTCACACCACCTCTAATCTATGCCTCTTTATCATATCTGATGATGACATTGCACAATCCCAAAGACTAATGTATCTTGTGTTCTGGTATTTGCTCTTTTCATTACAACTGTTAGATGTAATTCAGCAGACACTTTTATACTTGATACTAGTCTGAAATGCTAGCTCTAATAAACATTAAAGGGAGCAATAACATGCTTCAATTTGAAAAAGTGGTAGATTCCCAAAAGCTCTAAATTGAATTTTGTTTTCAACTTATACCAGGTATACCTGACTCAGGTTTCTCATAACAAAGTTTTGAGTATTAATTTATTAAAATAATGGCAAAGAAGAGCTCTTTTATTTGTTTTCATAAAAGAAGATTTCTTTATATCATTAAAAATATTTTCCTTCCCCTAAATTCACAGTCTCTATCTGTAGATGCCAGACCACCTTGGCAATAACTGATGATTGCCTTTTATGGGACTACCACACTTACAGTAGGTCCAGGAGGACCTGGGAGGCCAACATCACCATTCTTCCCAGCAGGACCCTATACAAAGACAAAATTAGGCTATGGTTATGGGTTGATATAATTTTTATAAGAGTCACAAAATTATTATTGATTAGTATTATGTCATTATTAAATTATTATATAATTAAACAAATGTTAATGAAACTTACAGGTGTTCCAGGCGGTCCACCAGGGCCTCTTTCTCCATTCTTACCTGGTGCACCCTTACAAAAGAGAAAGATCACATTTAGAATACCTGTTCTGGTCAGCATACAATAACTTAATCCTGTGATACCAGATAACCCCACTATGGAGCAACTTAACAGTTGACTGACCAAGCATAAGCACAGTAGAAGTGAAGAAATCCCTCTCACCTCATTGCCCTTAGGACCAGGGAAGCCCATTACACCTGGTTGACCACGTGGGCCTGAAGGGCCAGGTGGACCAGGACGGCCAGATTCACCCTGAGTACCCTGGGATTAGCAAAAAAGAAATGAAAACATGGCATTTGTTAAGTGAAATAAATGAATATCCATGACTCATTAAACAGTGAGTGAGGGTGAGATTGAGCTAGAGGCATCGTCGTTCAAAACTTACTATGTATTTTGTATTTCAGCTAAGCTTCTGTATACTCTGTATTTTAAATAGTATTAAATGACAAGATTTACAGAATGTTATTACAGTGAGACAGCATATAAAGTGCTCTGGTAAATAAAACAAACAAACAAAGAGACAAGTAATCTGACTGTGATAACAACCTGTCATGTAGATACTGTGGGATGAGGGTAAGGTCAGTAGGAGGACTAGCATAAAATGTTTGCACAATGTACATACTGGAGGGCCAGGTTTCCCATCGCCTCCAGGGTTTCCTGGAATTCCGGGCAAACCCTGCAAGTGAAGAAAAAGAAGTGTTATTTTTCAGTTTAAAATGTGTAGTATTAAGTTACAATACATAAATATAAATATATAAAAATACATTTTAAACTACTTGCTTGATTTTAACCTCTTTAATAAAGATTAAAGCTCTTCCCATTCCCCCCATCCAATTAAGGGGAAAAATTGGACAAAGCTAACAAATTC